GATTCAATCATATTTTTTCGAAATTTTTCAAAGAGTTCAAGCCAGTTTTTTGTTGCCCTTTCTGTATTTTGAACTCGTGACTTGTTTTGATAAAATAAAATTGCCTTTTCGATGTCAGTATTTTTGTATGATTTCGGTTGTAAATTTGGATTGTTTAAAACTTCACGAGCATTATTAAATTTTACGGTCTTCTTTGATTTCATTTTTGAGAAATAAAATTAAAAAAAAAATTTAAAAAAAAATTTGTAAAAAAAAATTATTTATTGAACACTATTTTTACGTCATAATAACATGTGAATCACATAATTCATGTGATTTTTTTCTTATCACGGGCGTTAGTAATCGGGAAATATAATTGTTATTTACCGCTCAATCGCCGACATCATCAGGGTCACGGCTGCGCCGTGACACCTGATGATATCTCTGATTTCGCGGTAAATAACTAATACATACAAAATAATTTATGCTGTAGTAATTATATACATCAACATCAAACAATTCCTCATTCTCATCTTTAATAAGAATTCCCAATCATCAAATTCTTCGTTCCAAGTGTTGTTTCGCTAGCGATAATAGGTTCACTATCGCCATTTATCGTGTGAGAAATGGCATTGATCTAATGGTTTAGAAATCAAAAAAGCGGATGAAATTGTTTAATTAAAATAAATCTTTAATAGATGTTTCGACCGTTTTGGAAATTGGAAATGCAGACGGCATAATATATCAATGTTGGTGAAACAGGATAAATCTTTTCGTGATTGTATATGTCAGTAAGTCGAAAAAAGATTAAATCTACTTTAACACTGTGTAAAATTTCAGAAAAAATTGACCTTCAATTCTTTCTTAGTGTCATGATTTATTTAACGAATATTTATTACCATTAGTTGTCTAACAATAAACCGTTTGGTTCTATTCCAAGGGTAACACATGTTGTTGCAACGCGAATCTGTATGAAGATGTTATTTAAAGATCTCCACGCATATAATACAAAATTAAATTCATTTTATTTTTAAAAAAAAAAATTTAAAAATTGCTCACCATTTTACTATACTCTCATTTTCTTTTGTATGTTGTAAGAAAGCTAACATGATGTCATATTTACCTATTGCTCGTCTTGTATCCAAGAAAAATTGTTTATCTACTTCATCTTTAGCTTCAATTAACTCGTAATACATATATTCCGACCATCTTTGGTTGGTTTTCTACCCTATATAATTAATATTATTAAGAATTAACAATTTAATTAAGGCAAAAATAAATATCAAGAACAATTGCCAGCATGATAAAATAAATAAATATTCATTTATTGGTCCGGAGCGTAGCGAAGGACTATATAATTCTATCCTGTTTGACTCAAGATGTCCGTTTCCCCGCTCGAAATTTAAGTCGATATGTGATTTCGAAACCGTTCCCTAGTAATACCTCATAATATAATCTGAATGATTAAATATCCAATTAGAATCAAAAATTAACCTTAGGATAATAATGATATTTAATTTTAAGAAGATTATTATAATATTTAAAAAAAGCGGGTTATCTTGAAATTTTATTAATTTACATATTTCTCATATTCCGGATTGCAAAGATCTTAAACTTCCAATTCGAATCAAGGTGGTGGTGATGGTAGCGGCGGCGGCGGTAGTGTAATCGACATCTTGGGAAGTCAACTCTGGAAAAATGGAAGATATGTCGTAAAGAAGGAGACGTTTTAGCAGTAATTCTTCCTTGCTTTAGCCAACGATGTAAGGTATCTGATGAGAATCCAAGTTTTCTAGTTGCCTTGTGTGCGGACAAATATATGGAGGAGAGTGTTTGAGTTTACGATTTTGAACGATTTTTGAGTCATATTATGAAAAGCAACACTAAGCAATTATTGGCAACTGTATTAATAAGCAAACATTTGCTATGGTTAAAAAGCATAATTAATAGTCATCATAGTAAGTATCGATGACGAGCATTACGTAAACTAACTTTACCTTAAAATGTCAATTAGGAATTTTTTTTTTGTGATTTGTATTTTTCACTTAAAGATGATCGGCGTCTTGTTTAAACTAAAATTGTATAAGACGTTATTTTTTTGGAATTCACATATAAATCAGCAAATTGCTTGAAATTTGAAATTTTTTTTTTGTTCAGAAATTAAGAAAACAATGAATGAATATGATGAATATGACAATTTGGGGACCTAAAAATGATTTGTCAATTATATACCGGGATTTTATCGTTTAATAGATTTACGCAATGATACAAGTAAATCATTGTGATTTGTATTTAAAAGGATCTTACAATAGTTGACCACATATCTGATTTTGTTTCAGACAGTTTTCAATCAGTTTCAAAAATTGATTATAATCAATTAAATTCACAATCATTGCATTTGACTTAATTGTTAAATCACGAAAAATTTGATCAATGATTGTAATTATACGGCTGTTTTATTTTACTATTTCACCAATAAATATAGTATATAGGTATGAAATGTTGATTCGTCCATCATCTCTTCGTTCAGGAATTTATTCGTAATTCTTTGGCCAAATATGGATTTTAGGAAAATCATGCTCCTTTACGAATATTGAAAATTACGATAAACCTTCACCGGTAAATACATATGGAAATTTAGATTTTATTAATCTTAATTTACATTTGATTTTATTTAGATGTATGACAAAATTGACGGAATTATCAAATTTGTTAATGAGTGATTGAGACTTGAACATGATTTGATTGGAAAAAAAAAAAGTAATACGAGGTCAAGAAAAGTCAAAAACAAGAATTTGTATTTTCAATAGTATAACGTATGTATTAATATATGCTTCTTGTCCTGTTTACATATGAAGTTTTTCTCATTAATATAGTGTATTATATTATATTTCTTTACTAGAGGCTATTGAATCAGAAATCAAATTTCAATCTTACAATGAAATTT